GTTTACGGTGTTTCTGACGGTTTACGGTGTTTCTGACGGTTTACGATGTTTCTGATGGTTTACGATGTTTTTGGCGGTTTACGATGTTTCTGACGGTTTACAATGTTTTTGGCGGTTTACAATGTTTCTGGCGGTTTACGGTGTATCTGGCGGTTTACGGTGTTTCTGACGTTTTACGGTGTTTCTGATGGTTTACGATGTTTTTGGCGGTTTACAATGTTTCTGGCGGTTTACGGTGTTTCTGTTTACACACACACACACACGCAGGTTTGTTTTGCTATCTTTAGGGGGCCTTTGCATTGACTTCCATTCATTTTTCATTCATTTCTATAGCCTAACCATGACCTTTATCCTTAACCTAACCATTACCTAACCCTAAACCTAACACATCCTCAATTCACACCTTAGTCCTAAACCTAGCCCCTAACCCACCAACGGGACTTCTTCTTATGGGGCCCGGGATTTGGGCCCCATAAGGAGCAGTTGGTCCTCACAATGCAGTATAAGTTGGAAAAATGGGCCTCACAAAGTAGCATAAACAAGGACACACACACACACACACACACTTGGGATCCAAAAGTCCCAGGTTCGACTCCCAGCCATTCCCACATGTCGTGGTGTCTCTGAGCAAGACACCTAGTGCCCAACTGCTCCACCTGGGTGTATCTCAGGTGTAATGGGTTAAATGCAGAGAACAAATTTTGCCATTTGTATGGAAACATACAACGATGACAACACTTAGCACTTTATTTTACTTTAATGGTCACTGTAGCTGCAGAGTCATGTGACCAGTGTGCTCTGCTCATTATGCACCAGTTCTGTGCTGGTTCAGCTGTTTGCTTCGTTAGCCTCACTGTTTCTCTGTTTTGTAGATCTGAAGGTTTCCTCCGGCCCCACCCCCCAGACGTTGACGAAGCCCGTCTACTTCATCAGCTGAGCACAGTGAGTCCAAAGTGTCTGAACCAAACCGAACCCCGTCAGATATATCATTTAGCTGAGCGGCCATTTTCTTTCTCCTGGCATTCACATGGAGCTGTTTGAACGTTTGTGAAGTGTCACTTTTATCAGAAGAAGTTAAATTTATCTGTTTAACTTTACAAACAACCCATTTTTACCTGATTCCTCCTCAACAGCCAAAGTTGAGTTTTCTTAATTTAATTCACACAAAACTTCTAAAAGCATAATTTTTTACTTTGTTTAATGAAAGTCTGACGTGAAAGCAGCTGCAGGAACATTTTTATTTTGCACAACAAGAACTCTGGAGTTACAGTCTGACGTCACCCGTTTCTAATAAGTTAAATCACATAAAACTGCACTTGTACACAGGTAAGATATTTACACGTTCTGGAAATCACTAAAATCAGCTTTTTGTGATGCAGAGCTGCTGATCCGGTTCTGGACTCATAAAGAACCGAGCTCCACATGTTCTTTAGGTTTTGTAGACCTGAAGGTTCCCTCCGGCGGCGGTGGGAGGCCCCGCCCCACTCGCCCCCGCCTGGACGTCCACGAAGCCCATCCTCTGCCTCCTCTTCCTCTGCTCCGTCATCTGAACACAAACAGAACCATCCTGATGAGGGAGTCAGTGGAACAGTAAATATCTTACCTGTTCTAGATAACCAACTTTTTAAATGTATTAGCCTTCACCATTCAGAATCAGAATCAGTTTATTATCGCCATGTCAATGAACGAGGTTCACAAACTAGGAATTTGCTTCGACATAAGGTGTGAATAGTAATAAAGTAAAATAAAGTAAAAATAAAGTAAAAATTAAGTAAAAATGAGAACATTTACATAAGACATAAGCCTGTGTACACCCACAAATAAAGTAAAATTAAAACCATAACATAACCATATGTACACCCATACAATAGAAAACAATAAAAAAGCTTAGAGAACAGTTGTAACCACATTGTATGTGGTTATTCACCAGTGCACACAGCAGCAGCAGGTAGCTGTAGCACTTCCTGCAGATAAAGAGATGAAGTGCTGTGGAAGTGGAGCCACAGCAGGAAGTTCCACAGCTAGCTGCTGCTGTTTGTCAGTAAAAGAAGTTGAAGGAATGCATACAGCAGGGACTCTAACATGCGCTGCGTTCCCTCTGCAGCTCATTCAGATCCCATCTGACCCCCGTCAGACTCTAGGGTGAGCAGTCCACAGTCCTGAAGCGACTCGCACAGCTGGTTCGGGTCCAATCGTGTAAACTACGTTATGAGTAGTGCCCGACTGATATCTGGGCAGGGCTGATATTTTAGGCCGATGAGACTTTTGGGGACATAGAGCCGTGGTAATTGTCCCATTATGCGCTGATGTGACACGTCTAATTTTCACCCCTAAAATGCTGGAACCAGCTGTAATTGTACAAAGTATCCAGCAGAGGGAGCAGGAAGACTACTTTCATGTCATGGCCATTCACTTAAGTTTCACTTTCACATTCAGCACAATAGAAGCAGGAAGCAATACTGTGTAGTGTATTTTGCTGAACAAAGCACAAGTTTATTTTAACTGATCTGTAAAACAATTCCACAATAATAAATTCTCTTCAATCCTCTAACCCACTCGTCATTAACTATGTGCCTCTTAAGTTAGCAAGCTAACATTAGCGCTCAGGTGCACCACCTTCATGATATTAGCCCTGTTGTCAGTTGTTACAGCAACAGTCGCGTCAGATTGAGCTTCCAGTTTGTGAGGACATCCAGTGTTAGTAACGTTATCTTTGTCGTCCTCTATGAAATGCATCGTTTGTCTGATATCTTTACTTCTCTACAAAGAAAAATAAACGCTGCGAACAAAATAAAATAAGTTCTCAGAGAAGACTTGCTCTCTTGATTTTACTGAAGAACTTTTGTTTATGAATTTGTAAAAAGACAAAAGTTTCCCAAGGCACATTGAGTGCAAGTTTGAGCCGTTTTCTCTTATTTTCAGAAGCGCTTGATTTACCGAGAAAATACATCAAAGATTGTTCTGTGGTGAGAGCGCTCACTACCTCACGTGCTGCGTGTACAGTATGACAAAGATCAGATGTCTCACTCTGACTGGAATTCAAACCCAAAACATTTCAACAGTTTTTAGCATGAATTTACTTAAACTAATTATTAACTATGAACTTATTTATCACCTGATTCATGTAACTTACTCACGTGATGAACTTATTGCTGTCTTTGAACAAAAGGCAGCGCGGTGGATCTGATTAGTAGTTACAAGAACAGCTGTGCTAAATAAACGAGCTCCACTCGCTGTTTACTCAGATTCTTGGGGGTGGACAAAGTGCAACATTTTCAGTCATATCGGTTATTGGCAGTCGCCTACCCCTCCCAGCATCGGTATCAGTGATAGACAAAATTTCCATATTGGTCGGGCTCTAGTTACGAGCAACTTCCTGTCAGAGCTTGGAGTGTGTGTTGAGGATGACTCTCAGCTACTACCACACCCAACAGTAGCTCAACGCCTCCAAATGTGACTGAGTTTTCTGTTAGCTGTGGTGGCCATCTTGAACCGGGTCAACTTTGGGCCTGAGAACCTGGTTTGACTTAATGTTGGAGGTGAAACCAGGTGAGCAGAACTTGTTCTGGACTCATCGATCTGTCCAGAAGTTGTGTTACCATGGTAACCTGTGTCACCCCCTCAGATCAGAGCTCGATCCAGCACCCGGTTCTGATGGGTTTACCTGCTCTTTGAGCTCGTTGAGCTGTGCCGTCAGAGTCATCACCACGTTCATGGTGTTGGCCAGTTTGTCCTGCAGCATCCTCATCTCGTTCTGCTCCCCGTCGCCGTCGGTTACCACCAGAGACATGGCCTGCATCCTCGGGAACCAGTCTAGATTGTTGTTCTGCAACAGAATCGGGAACGTTGAACCAGAACCACAGCCGTGTCACCCTGAAAGTCTGGACCGGTTCCTACCTTGATCATATGGGCCACATAGCTCTCCGGGCCCGTATAGTCCGTTTTGTTCTTCTCTCGGACCAGAACGATGAAGTACAGGTAGTTCCAGATGTTGTGCTCCAGTTTGATGTGCTCCTCAAACGACACCGTCTTGTTGTCGAACTTGTCTCTCTCCAGACCTGCGGAGAACCCACGACCCGACAGGTTCAGGAACCGGTAAGTGACCCCGGCCATCGTGGAGAACGGTGCACTCACAGCAGATGAAGCACGTGGTCTTTAGGACCTCCTCCTTCTTCTGTTTCTCGCTCCTCAGGTCAGCAAACGTGTCAATGATGACGCCGAAGATCAAGTTGAGGACGATGATGATGACGACGAAGTAGAAGAGCAGGTCGTAGACGACCCGGGCGGGGAACAGCGGCTCCTGCACACAGGTTCTGTTTCACCGACTGAAATATTTACACACAAAAACTCAAATGGAGCTCAACGTCTGTTTCTCACGTTCTTGGAGGGTTTTCGGAGAACGTCTCCAACTCCTCCCCCGTTCCTCAGTCCATGGTTCATGACGGTAACGATGCACATGAGCAGAGTGTCGCACGCCCGCTCCGCGCTAACCTCCTCTGAAATCAACACAACTTTACAACATCTGGAGCATTCAAGGCTCCATCCAGAGGTGATCACAAGAAACACGTCAGAACAAAGGGTTAACCTGACGATGCATTTAGTTACAGCAGAGGACTCGCACCATGCCCGCACGCTCCGTGTCACCACCATGACACGGAGTCGGGTGACCGGCATGTACGTTAAAACAACACACTGTGGTCAAGGTTCAGCTAGCTGAGATGCTCCGGCGAGCAGTTTGATCACCCGGATGTTAATTAAATTAACCAGAACTAGAGAAACGTAATTTCCTGTGAAAACCAGAAGCAGTAAAAAGTTGTAAACAGCACTCCGTTCATTTTAAATAAAAATGGCAGAAAAAGATCATTATTTCAAAATGTAAAAATTGCACAAACACCAAAAGTCCCAGGAGGAATGTCCTGAATGAGCCGAACTTTTTGAGACGTGAGCCGAACGTTTTGAGATGTTCCAACGTTCCGCCCTCCAGCCTCTGTCGAGGTCATGTTTCCTGAGCCGAACCTTCTGAACAGTTCGAACATGAGACATCGCTGACATTTAAAGTGCCAGAGACATTAAATGAATAAATACAAATGCAGTTTTGACGAGATAACGTAGAAAATATATTGCAAAAAAATAAAAGAACAATACGTCGCTGAGATAAACAGTTGAGATATTCTCATGAGCAGTAACAGGAAGTGATTCAAAGGGGAACATCTGCATGTGAGCAGAGGGTTGCTACAACATCAACAGTAAATAATCTGTATTTTTAAGATTACCCAGTCTCTGTCAGAGTTCAAATAATGTTTTAATACATAAACACCTTCCTGTGGACCCACCAACTGCAGGAGGGGCTATATGAGTCGGGTGCATGAAGCCATGGGCAGTGGCCGAAGGCGGGGGCCTTGGCGCTCTGACCCTGGCGCTCTGACCTTGGCGCTCTGACCTTGGCGCTCTGACCCTGGCGCTCTGACCTTGGCCCTCTGACCTTGGCGCTCTGACC